AATATTAAAATGGATCTTAAATAAGTAGTGAGTGAGAATATTGACAGGATTAGCCTGGCTCAGGACTGGGTACAAAGTATACTAGTGAATATTCCTCGTTATGTACGAAATCCACTGCACACAGGCACATGGAAGCCATACTTTTAACTTAATAATATCGAATGACGTAAGTTGCTGACGTAAAAATGCAAAGGACTACAACACTGAAGTCAACTTCTAACTGAACAAGTTTACTAGGTCAATAACTCACTCAAAGCATTGACTACAACTCTCAGAAAAAATTAGTCGCTTAGCTAGTAACGAATTTCAAGCTTTATATTGCAAACAAGGTGCTTTATTTTCGTGTTCATAACAACCCGTCTATGGGCTCTGTCCTGAATCAGCTAAATGCAGTTCACAACCCCACTCCGTATTGCTTTCAGATCCATTTTAATGTTATCACCATGTGTTTTCCAAGTGGTCTCGTCCCTATGTTTTGCGATTAAGATTTTGCAAATATTCCCCCATTCGACGCTACATGCCTCTATCACCTCATCCTTGATTTCATCACCGTGATAATACGATTAAAGTTTTCTCATCGTAAAAAAATTCAAAATTCGGAGACTCCTGATAATACTACTTTCATATCAATCGATCATTTAAAGGGCTCAGTTCTCTACACAGAAGATTTTGTCCATCCAGAATCGGGATTTTGTGATCCACGACTCTAATATAATTTTTTCCAATTATGCTATTCTCTTAAAATACAATTTTTGTTTTTTGTAATTCCTATAGTTCTGCTCCCTTTCCCAATTTTTAATAATATATTATTGATTTTATTCTCACGGTTACGATCTAATTGCAAACATGTATTTCCTAGATTTCTCTTGTAAGCTACCTCTTCGTTAAAAATACATCATTTTAAAATTAAAAACTGCTGCCTTCACTTGTTTCCGAACATTTTAGTAATATACTCAGAACACCTTCTTCATCTCTACGAGAGGAACATCTACCTCTCCAAATCCTCCCGCTGTTACACTCAGCTACCAAATACCAGTCTCTAACAATACTGACTCATTGCAAATTGACGCCAACAAAAGTTTCTCCGCCCACCACTTTATGAGTTTTCTTGTGCGAAAAGCATAAACCGAAATCAAACTGAGCAAGAAAGCCATTCGGTCTCTTCCTACATAACCAATCTAAACCTACCTCGTTAACAACCACTCTAATGCCCTCCCCATCTATATCTAGGTCTTCCATGTCGACAAAGAATAAAAGCATAAATATTTATGGTGGAATTTGAAAGTAGCGGTGACCTATTTTCAGACACTGCATCAACAGTGACTTCATATAACTGAGGAATATTACGATATCTACTTGGAGCCTCGCTTCAACCACCCACGCCTTCTAGACGCTGTGTAAATTACATCATAATTCATGTCCTTATCGGTTGAGCAAGACACGTGTACGACAAGACAAACGAGGGCTGATAATCTTTGGATTTCGAATCAGACGCAAAAAGAATTATATTTATGGCCAGGGAAATATTCCTTCCAAACTGTCCCACTTTTACACCTACGGGACTATACACAGCTAGTAAATGCACTGTATGACTTAAGGTTCTCATGGATGTTAGTCCGAAGTTGGCTGTCTGCTGCCGTGAAGTCTATGTACAAGTTTACCGACGTTTCAGAGGTAACTGCTGCCTCCATCATCAACGCGATGAGTATTTATCATTACAGCCTGCCCTATTTAAGACTTACAAAAACGCCCAACCACTACACATTCACCTGAAGATGGCAACATAGCCGCAAGTATGATGGACAGACGGACAAGAGGAAACCACGAAGAGAAAAACAAGACAGCAAATAATGAGCGACGAATAAACTGATACTGGCGTTATCGCTGTGATAACCGGCTAGCTTCCTGCCTTAGTGCATCCTTAGTACCAAAGATTTACAGCTGCGAAAACATTTATGTATAATTTGTAGTAACATCACAGTCAAAACAGAAATAAAAACAATGAGAATGTGCATCATAGAAACAAGAAGCGATAGAAGAAATGTAAACAATCGGGGAAACCCGTCGTGACATTTTACCTTGCCTGGTCGGTATGCTCCACATACTGTGAAGCCAGACAGAATAATGAGTCATCCTATCACGAACACCCGACGTTTCCCTGTCTACAAAGGAACAGACATCAAACACCAGAGTTCGTCAGGAGGAGACAGACATCAGGTCCCTCCTCCCCCGACACCTTCTACGGAACCCTGAAGGTTCACAAGATTCTGCCACTGGCCCCTGCCCTAAGCCATATGAATTCAGTGCACATCCTGACAATGAATTTCTGATCCATTTTAATAACATCATTACAAGAATTTTTTTCTTCACGTCGTTCCAATAAAAATTTCCCCATGTATTTGTACACGCTGCACATTATTAAGTTAATTATGTAACTTTCTCCATCCTTCAGGGCCATCGTCTTTTTGGTGTATGTAATTGATACGCCATTATTTAATAAGACAAGAAACACTCTTCCTTTCTTTATCGCTGCGTTCCATCTATGGAACGGTTACAGCGTCGTTAAACAGTATGCAAATAAGCCGCTGATTCTTGTATATAGGAAGAACGGAACACAAATGCGCACAGCTTAGGATGCTATTACAGTCAGTGTGTGTCATTTAAACAGGCCCAAAATTTAAAGGAAAAAAGTAAAATCATTAATTTCATGGTTTATACCTCGTCCTCGAATTGACTGCACCAGCGAAAAATGCTTTTGGAACATGACTGAAATCTTTAACATTAATTCATGCATTCTCACTGCAATATGAACTTAAAAATTTTTGTATCACGTCACAGTTTAAAGAAAAGCAATAATGAGAACGGAAGATCAGACCATGACAGCTTCCTTTCACATCCTTTCCAATTCATTATTCACTAATCGTCCTATCATTCGATGTCATATAATCTCAGCCACAGACTGCGTTGTTAAATGAACCACAAATAAATAAAACGAGGCAATCACGTGTATCTAAGCCAACAAATGAACGTCACGGAGCGGAACAAAATTAAGAAGGAAACAAGACAGTTTTTATAAATCCCTTTTCATCGGATTCTCCCTCCCCCTTCCGAAATTAATCGTGGGCTTTCAACTGCAGACAATGAATACAGCCTTCGGCGTCTGACAGTAATTTACACTTCGTCATGTCTTGCTTAAAGACACTTGTTAATATCGACCCACCCTTGTCTTTAACCAGGGGTGGAAAGTTCACGTGAACAGTGTTGGCCGTGTTAGTGCGGCTAACACTTTGTAAAACGAAAAATAATAGACCGTCTTGCTTTCATAGTTCGGTGGTATTTCACACTGGAATATAGCAGAAACAATCAGATAAAATACATCGTTGACCAGCTGCAGCCAGCTGGTTCAGGCTTACACTCGTGGCGAGCGCCTGGCTAAAGATGCATTTTATCCGATCGGGTCTGTTGTGTTACAGCGTACGGAGTATCAATGAACCACGAAAGTAAGACATAAAGACTTATTTATTTATCGTTTTTAAAGTGTTAAGCTGTGTTAATACGGTTAACTGAACGCTCCACAAGTGTTTATGCCCATTGCCCCATTTAACATAAAGTTTAGCACATCGTTGGAGGCCCTATTTCAATTCCACAGCCAAACGTAAGAAAATAAAAAGGTGACAGAATAAAATCACGAAATTCAGTGCAATTAATGAGTTTGACTGGGACAGAGGGGCGCGTCTACGGGAAGCTTGGCTCTCATACAGCTTACAGATTAATGACATGCGGCCTACAAATAACTCATGACGGATAGAAGCAAACAATGACCACGGACAGAAGTAAATTACAGTCCACGACTGTAATCTTGAGACTTGCACGGAATGCAGGAAGTCCGTAGCGTTAAAGGCAGACGCTATCTTCCCTCCTTTACCCCACCTCCTCACCCCGCAAGTCTCAAGATTACAGTCGCGGAGTGTACCTCCTTTATCAAGTCAATTGTAAAAACAAAGTTTAGCGATTTAAATTTTAATCCGCGAAATTACAAAAGACATCCGTGGACTGATATTTGTTTTACGGGAACAAGTTTCTACAAAATCCTATGTGGCCTTTAAATTTAGGTTAAACACACAAATTCTGCTACAGGGTCCATTCCAAACCGCTCGTGTTAATACCACCGACCCCATTAATCACTGTTCAGTTAATTGGGCATGTGTTCTATTTTTAAAAAATCGATTAAGGTGAATTAATTTGTGTCAAAACGTATTTATTGAAAAGTAACAAATCACCACCGATTCTATCCACAGACTCCGATCAGCAGGTCATGTAATCATCCTATGCAGCCTACGTCACAGGAAACCTCACTATGTGGTCAAGTGTTATTGAATGCGCTATTTGCCTATCTTACCCAGTTTACTAAACATACTTAAGTTGGCATGCACATTCAGGTGCTCTGTACGCTTTGGGATAACTTAAAACCCAGTAACATCTTAAGAGCCCTCCCATATGCGCCTACAAGTCATCACATTGTTACAACACACTTGTAATAACAGCCTTGAATACAACATTTGTAATTATTCACTTCGTTGCCCTGGTAACGTCATCGCCCGTCATGTGGCGTAAAGAAAATGTTTATAAACTTGGTGTACTCCGAAGAGTACGCATTTCCAAAACTTGATGCTCATACCACTATCCGATAACCAAAACTTAGATTGATTTTTTTGTCAAATTTATTTGTCAACAAAACCTGGAAGATGGCTGTCCTCTGCGATATAGCGCCGTGTACTTCAGCAGATTTTTTCCGACGTTTCGGCAATACTTACTGTGTACCATAGCCATTCTTGATGATAAGTACGTCTGGAACGTCGGTCAGTATCTACCAGAATACACGGCGCAAAGTCCCTGAAGACAGCCATCAGACCCATGAAAGTCCCACGGAACAGATGATTCACAGTGTGGGGATGGAACACTTTGGGACCGGCCCGCAGCAATGGCGTCAAACTACTTACTCCGACTCGTTGTTCTCGAAGACAATTTGTCCGCGCGCGACCTCGTACTCCTTGCCGGCCTTCGCCGTTCCATCCTCCGTGAAGTACGTGACGGCGACTCGACCCCGGGCCCCGCTGCATCGCACTACCCGGAGCTCATACTGACCCACAGACTCCACTAACTCCACGTCCTTCTCGGGAAAGGCGAACACTCCTCCGTGATCGTCATCCAGGATCATGACGGTGGCGAGTGAAGGACTGACCAGCTGTGGGGCCGGCGGCGGAGGCAGGGGTTTTGAAGAAAGACGTCGAATCGGCGACGGAGCAGCATCGCCATTGGACTGGCCCGTCCTCAGATTACGGAGACGAACGTAGAAATGCTCATCCTCTTCGAAGACGTCGTCGTCTATAACTTGAAGACGGAACGTCTGATAAACTTCGCCAGGGCGGAAGACTAGAGTTCCCCGGGCGCCGATATAATCGGAGCCTTCATTAGCAGAGCCGTCTTCCGTGGCGTAATCGACCATAACGACCTGATTGATGTCGCCGCCCTCACGAACCACACGCATCTCGAACTCTCCCACGTTCTCCATGACGGTGTAGTGACCAGGGTCGAAGTAAACCTTCGTACCGGAATCCTCCTCGCGCTGCAGCTGAGCTTTGACCTCTGACAGGTCACTCTGAGCGCGTTCCTGAATCTTTTTCATGATATTGCCACCGCCCACCATCTTCCGCGTAGCCTGGACGCGATAGAATGCGCGACTCTTTGGGCCCTTATTCAGGACTTCCTCCTGAGCCATGATTTCTAGCTGTTCCAGGTCCAACGCCGGATACTTCTTCCTCAACTCCCGCAGGGTATTGATGTACTGACGACGGTTGTGTTCAAACTCTCGGACCTCCTCACTCTCAGCTTCATCCTCCAGAGACTTGAGACCGCCGTCGACGTGATTGATCTTGTTGGCCAACTCCACGTTCCCCTCGCTCTGCACGATGACGCCGTGCCGGTTCATACGGTAGTCCTTGTGCAGATACTTGTAGATTAGGAGTCGCCGATCTGCAATGTAGGCCGTCCCGACTGTGGCCGGGAAGAACAAGAAGGTGAGCAGACCCTCCCACACTTCCACCTCGCCGACGGAAAAGACGGACAGGATGAGGTACAGCCACACGTACGCGAACACTGACCACGTGGCAGTCACGAAGAACACCCGCAAATGTTTGATCTTTCGTACCTGCCCGTCTGGGATCACCATCACGCAAATAGCAATGATAATAAAAAGGTTGTAGGCAGCGGAACCAACTATGGTTCCCGGCCCCAAGTCACCTGCCTCAAAATTCTTCGCGTATATTTCTATAATGGAAAGAAGAATTTCCGGAGCGGAAGACCCGAGAGCCATGAGGGTCAAATTGGCCACAGTCTCGTTCCACACTCTCACAACTAGAATTTGCTTCTCGCCACTCTTCTTGCGAACGACGATCTCCTTCTCCTGCGACGTTATGACTTCGATGGCGGCCATGAAACGATCTGATATGACAGACACGCCAATGAAGAGGTACAGCATGGCGAAGAAGTAAACAAGCCCTCGGGCGATTCGGTCGCCGACGCTAAGATTGTCCGAGGGCAACCAGACCGGAAGGAGAAGTCCATCTTGGCACTGTTGCGTATAATTACCCGATTTGGAGGCCTCGCAACATTGCAACCCCAGTGCTAGCAGTAAGACAGCTGCGGCAGCCGA